AAGAATGAAGGCCAGTGAGTCTGGAGCAAAGAGAATACAGGGGAGTGGTAGCATTCTAGGTCAGAGAGATAGGCAGGGGCCAGTTAGGTCTCATACCCACTGCTATAAAGTTCATTGCAACTCATAGTGAACTCAGTCTGTAAGTCTTTACAGAAGTATATTGCCTCATCTTCCTCCCATGGAGTAGCTGGTAGGTTTGAACTGCCAACCTTCTGTTTAACAGCCAAATGCCTTACCCACTATACCACAAGAGCTCCTTAGCTAGGTCTCATAGGTAATGGCAAAGAGCCCTTCTGAGAGAAATTCAATGAAAAGAACAAAATCTTTTAAAACGTTCACACTTTCTACAATACAATTCCACTGCCTGATTCTAAAGGCAATGAAAGGTTTAGTTCAGATGTAGAAGTCATAAGAGACCATCACTCGCATTCTGACAATCAAAAAAAAAAAAAAAAAAATCCATATAGGCTACAGAATCATAATTTTACAAAAAACCCATCAGATGCTGAGGATGTAAAGTAACCTAAATACATTAAACTCCATTAAGTGACAGCCCTTCGTAAATGAGGAGAAATACAGTGCAGTCACCCCTGACTGAAAGGGAGGGAGGGAGGGAGGGAGGAGGAATGTGTTAAGGATGGGGCTTAAGATAAACCAGATTAACTTCCAACAAAATTTTTATTGTTTTAAGTGGGCTGTTGTGACAGACTGAAATACAGATCAGGCCTTAACTATCCCCAAGCTCTTCCTCACCAGTGTTTACTGAGTGCTGGGAGAAGTACCCAAAAATGGGGACAAGGAAGGAAAACGTAATGAAACTCTTCAGGCACTTGTTCTTTCAGACAAGGAAGATTGAGGAGAGACCGTAGAACTGAGAGATAATCGTAGGCACTTCACAAAGTGGAGGCCATCTGCCACCCTCCGTAGAGTAAAGACAAGGAAGTATGGCTGAAAGAGATCTTTCCAGACATGGAAAGTAAGACGATTGAGTAGGAAGAACTCCACAGGGAGTTCAGAAAGCAGGTGGCTTGGCTGTGGAACACAGACAGATCTCTGAAATAGTGTTCAACTCTTAACAGAGCATGGAGCCTTAACCTTCATCTCAGATTTGTGAGATGATAGAAAATGATCTAACATGTGCATAATTGGAGTCCCATAAGGAGAGGGGAGTCAGAGTGTGTGGCAAAGAATAAATATTTGAAAATGGCTGGAAAAGTTTCCAAAGCTGATAAAAGACATCAACCCTCAGCTCCAAGAAGCTCAACAAACCTTAAGAAGGAAACAAACTGAGCATAAAGTAAACATCTTAAATGCAGTGGGAAGCTATTGGTGGTTTTAAAGTAGGAGAATGATGTAGTCTGATTTATACTTGAAACAAACATCTCTGGAGAATACATATATGAGGCAAGAGTGAAAGCAAGGATATCAGTTAGTAGGCTGCAATAGTAACAGAAGACTACGATGGCAGTATTATCCTTCACTGCCATTTCAGTCCTGCCTTTCCTCCCCAGACAGCACAGATGGCCATGCAGCCTTTCAGCTTTCAACAGGAGATACTTGACCATATGTTATCCTCATTGATGGAACATTTTTTCTTCTAAACCATTCATGTTCTTGGACCTAGTCTGTCTTTTTGTTCCCAGCACTTAGTACAGTTTCTGCCATATTGTAGGTACTCAGTATATAGTTACCAAATGAAGGAATGAACCAAAGTTTAAAACAATGAAAATTCAGCCATAGCTAGACTTTGCTGCAAAATACCTTATCCTCTTGGTGATGGGGTTGTATCGTGATATCATTACTGTACAGGCACCACAGCCTCCTCCTCCACAGCCATACTTAGTTCCTGTAAATCGGACTGGAAGCAGCATAGTTAAAGATTGTTTGTTTCCCATGATTTGATTCTCGTTTAGCATAGCTCTGACCTTAGGGGACAGCATCATCAGAGGCTCATAAATGCATGCTTTAAGTTCTATACCAAAAACCAAACTCACTGCCGTCAAGTCAGATCTGACTCATAGCAACCTCTCCTTGGGTTTCCGAGATGTATGTCTTAGCTACTATTATTTAAAATTATGTAAATTTTTTATTTCCATTGGTGTGTTATATTTAGTCTCTTTCCTTTCAAAAAATCAGAACTCCGATTGCCAAAAATAGTACCAAACTGAAAAAAGAATCCATACATATAACACTTTAGTGCTTGAAGGTCTGAGTATGTTGTACATTTGTTTTCCGTTTTATGTGTCTTTCATGACATACAAAGTTAATTGTCAAATTGTAAATAATTACGGTGTAATATTAACCATATTTCTCTACCTTTCAGTGGCAGCCATTACTAGATGTACCCCAGTATTCTCTCATTCTTCCTTAATTTTTAAATGCCAACTTTTAGGCACATATATATTAAGAAATATGTTTTACAGACTCCTCTGCAGCCAGATGGGAATTATTAACAATACTGTACAATAGCAGAAAGCGTAAGTTCTATGTACGACTTGCAGGAGGGAAGTGTCCTAAAGAAGAGGGTGGTGTCCCTTTATCAACCCTTAGCTCTTATTTTCTGGAATTCAGAGATGATGACTCAGTCAGTCACTTCTGACCATAGGGAGGAAGCTATATCCTGAGGCCGGTGAAACAGCAATACATAAGGAGATTGAATCTCTGGTAATGCTGTGACATAGCTTTACTAGTCTTGATCTACCTACCATCTGGTTTCCTTTATGTGAGAGTGGCAGCCAGGAGAATGTGTCTAGCAAACCTCCTATTGCAGAGAGGGAAACTGATCGAGGGACTCAATTGCTACACTTCGAAATCCATCACCCGGTTTTGCATGAAGGACACACCTCCCATGGGCTGCACCCCATCAATGACTCAGTGCTGCGGAAAGGTATGCAACTTCTTGCCAACTGTCCCTAAGGGCTATGTTGAAAATTCCTTAGATTACAGGAGCTCTGATGGCATAGTGCCTAAGGTATTTGACTGTTAACCAGAAGGCTGGTGGTTCAAACCCACCAGCCACTCCTCGGAAGGAAGGTTGGGCAATCTACTTCCATATTGATACCCCCTCAGAAGCCCAACAGGGGTCGCTGTGAGCGGGATCCGACTCAGTGGCAGTGCATTGCATTGTTGCGTTGCATAGACAGGAGTCTAGGCTGCTTCACTCAACTACTTCTTACTCTCTTCTTCACTCATGCTCAGACTTGCAATTGGTCTGAAAGCTCCCTAAGCCTTCTCCAGCTCCCTTCCTATTTCTTTTCACACTGACATTTCTCCTAATAAAGCCCCTTGCACATTTAATCTTATTTTTGGCATCTGCTTTTTGGAAAACCTAAACTAACACAATGAGAAAGAAATTAATTTGTCTTGTTTACTGCTATTTGAGGTTTTCTGCTAGTCACAAGTGAACCAAATCTTAAATACTACATGTTGCTACCATGGATATCAGGAAGTCAATGTTCATTGTTTTTACATCCAAAGATATTAAACAATTTTCTGGAACATATTCATGATCAGAAAAGTTGTTATTATTATTTTAGAGTTGTGTACTCTTGGGAATTTCACTCTACCCAGAAAAATAATATATAAGCTCCCATTGTCACAAACTTTCATATATAATTGAATGGGGTCAACGGATCTCCAGGAGCTGACTGGACTTCATGATAACAGGTTAAGAATCTATTTGTCAGATAGCATTGATTTTGAAAGTTTTTCTAAGGTAGCATGTTCAAGGCTAATTTCTCCATGTTTTTCTTCTTCTTTCATTTCAGGAGATTTCTCCAATCTCTTTTCATAATGGGCATGATGATTAGTCCTTGGAGATAGAGTGTCATTATTGTGATTCTTAATTCTAAGAGGCTTAATTAAACCCTTTTAACAGTCATTGCTTTAATTCCCATTGCTAGCTTCTCCGTTTCATATAATGTATTTAATGACAAAACAGAGATTAGAAATAACTTTGTTCTGATAGCCACAATTGTATATTGCCTACAAAACTAAGCTGTAGGACTTTCTCAAAACCCTACTATAGTAAGAAATATGTCTTGGTGTGGCTCTAAAAAGATATTTGAAATATCATCTGTACAAAAAAGTGCATCAGATCTATAGTTACGTACACAGAGAAGAAAAAAAAAGGATACGCTTCTTCCTCAGGTATGGTAACAGCATCATTTCAGGGTCAGCATTCTTTTCTATCACCTTTACCAGGAGGAAAAATAAGAGTTATGCAGATGAAGTTGAGAGAGCTAGTGTGACATTCACATTGGTAGGCTTTGCTAATTTGAGACAAGGGCACATAAATTAATTCCTCTACTCATATTTGTAATTTAACTTAATGTTCACAGAACACTTGCAATATACAAATCTCCGTCCTTAAGTGTAAAGTCTGAACCTCAAGTATCACCACCACTTTGGCACTATCCTTGGTCCTGAACAATCACTGTTCTCCAAGGCAGCAGGGACTCTGCTGACAACTGTCTGACTTCACCTAGAAATTCTGGAAAGGCGAAGGGAAAGGCGTTAGTACAACAGAAAGGAGGTAGGGGAAGAGAGACTTCTGGAGTGGGATACCTCTGAAAAACTGATGTAGTTAAAAAAAGACTTGTTTATAATGTTCAAACAATTACAGTTTCTGAGAAAGATCATAACTAACAACGATCCCAAAATCAAATAAGCAAAGGAGAAGATAAAATGTAAATTCTATACGCAAGAAAAGACACACTTATGCAAGTTCGTGTGGGTAGCCCACAGCACAGCAGTAGAATAGCAGCATCTGAAGGGTGGCATGCTAGAAATGTCATGATTGGGTATGATTTCCAAAGTGATCATGTTTTTGGTTAAAAATTTGGGATTTATTTTACAGTGAGAGAACAAACAGAAGCATGAGTTGCTTCACAATTTTACACACTGAATCCATATTTCATCACAACATAGTAATTTTCTCTTCGGAGAAAGGAAGAGGAAGGGGAAACATGTTTATTCTATGACTGTCTCCTCAGTCAATTCTCAGCAGGCAAAGGAGAGCATATGTCAGTTACCAAGGTTTGATCTGTGCCTAGAGGACTCCGCAATTTAGTAAGAGAGAGATGATTGCATGTATAATATGTATGCATATGTACTGTAATACAAGGAAAAATCTAGCATGCCCTCCAGGCATCCCCAACTCATCTGGCCCTCACATGGAATCTTTCATTTTATCCCTCAAACTAACTCCTACCCTGCTTTTCCCTAACTTGTTTAGTAGTCTAACCATCTACCAAGTCATCTAAGCTTAAAAACCTGGCTTATTGTCAACTTTTTCTTTCTTTCTTTCAATACACCACAGTATCACATGTCCTGCCACTTACACTTCCAAAATGAGTCTCTAACACCCTTCATTTCTACTGTCACTACCTGGAATGAAACTTTATCACTGGACTGACCTCTAAACTCCAAGTCCGATCTATCATGCAGTTGGCTAAATATTCATCACTGGCTCCTTGCTGCCTAACTGCTATCCTGGGAACTCCTGAGTTACCTGGGAGTGTGTTCAAGTGAAACCCCTATGGAATCAGGATTTCTGGGAGTGGGAACTAGGAAATGTGAATCTTGGACGAGCTCACTGATGAATCTTATGCAAATTAATATTTAAGAATGCCTGGATACAAGAAGAAATTCAAATCCCTGGCATAGCCTACAAGACCTCTTTTATAAATCATCTCCTGCCACTTCACCCGTGTATCTTCAACACTAGTGACATGGGATAGCTGGCAGTTCCCAGCAGGCATGGACTTTTACCCTTCACGACTTTTACATACAAGGAGTCCTGGTGATGCAATGGTTAAGCCCTCAGATGCTAACTGAAAGGTTAGTGGTTTGACCTACCCAGTGTCTCTGCAGGTGAAATACCTGGTGATCTGCTCCCATGAAGATTTACAGTCCAGAAAACCCTATGAGGCAGTTCTACTCTGTCATATAGGTTTGTTATGAGTCGGAATTGACTTGATGACACTTAACACGACAACAACTTCTACATACAGGGTTTCATGTGCCCCCAAAGTCCTCCTTCTATTCTCTACTTGGCAGAATTTTGTACATTATTCAAAGCTCTGCTCAAATGTTCTCTCCTGTGGGAAGGGCTTCCTTCTAATCTGCCTTCCCCCACTCTCTGTCTGGTTCTCTGCTCCAACTAACCATGCTCCTCTGTGCAGTGGAGCCACTAGGGTTGGTGTCACCGAGTACAGTAATTCATGGTGTCACACCTCCCACATGGGCAAACCACCACCCCCACCCTCCTAGCACTGTGAAGCCCTGCCCCTTGTGGCCCCCCATGGCTCCCCACAACTCTTCCCCTCTCCCATTGGCCAAGGCAGACAGCCTTCTCTCACCCAGGGGTGGGCACCATGGCCCACCCACTTGGGCCTGACCAACAGGGGATGAAGGGGTGGCGAGCTACCACACTGAGAGACAGGTGACACCAACCTTAGTGACACCACTGCCTTGGTGGTCCCTCTCCTATGACACTAATTCACCTGCCATCACTGCAGACCTAGGGCATTTTGGTATCACCTCCTCTGACATTGTCAGAGGGGTTTGCACCCCTTCACCCTCCTAACAACAACACTGCCTCTGTGCTCCCACAGTCATTGTCCCACCTCTTTGATGACACTTTTGGCCTTGCCTCATAATTATTTGTGTACGTATAAGCCTCTCCTGATCCTGAGAGAAACCACCTTCTGTTATGCTTCTTTTGTGTCAAGAACTGAGCTAAGTGCTAGGGATATATCACGGGGACACAATAAATGTTGTTGTTGTTGTTGTTATGTGCCGTCAAGTCAGCCCTGACTCATAGCGACCCCTCCTTGGGTTTCCGAGGCAGTATCACTACGGAAGTAGGATTGCCCAACCTTCCTTCCGAGGAGTGGCTGGTGGGTTTGAACCGCCAGCCGTCTGGTTAGCAGGCAAGTGTCTTAGCCACTATGCTACCAGAGCTCCAATAAATGTTAGTGAATTAAATAAATGACTGAACATGACATGTACAATTTTCTGTGAAAGCACCAAGGAGGGAAGGATGATTTCTCACAGGATGGAACTGGCATCTGAACAGATGAAAAGAAATAAAAGGTGAGATGTTATTAATGGCAGAAACTGTTGATAGTCTACTCCAGCATGCGTTTTGTTTTCTTCCTTCCTGCCATCTGGTGTGGGGATGTCATATCTTGAGCCCCAGCAGCCATTTTAGACCACACCACATGTTAATGGTGGCAGCTGAGTAAGAGAGAAGAATCTTGGGTCCCAGATGATACCATGAAACTTCTATATTAACCCCACAATATCTATCCCCAGATATTCTTTAGGAGCTCTGGTGTTGTAGTGCCTGAGACATTTGACTGTTAACCAGAAGGCTGCCAGTTCAAACCCATCAGCCACTAATGACTTGTATCTTGTTTGAACCACTAAAAACAAACAAACAAACAAAAAACTGCCATTGAGTCAATTCCGACTCATAGCATCCCCCTTTGGGTTTCTGAGGAGGCAAATCTTTACAGAAGTAGATTGGCCAGTCTTCCTTCCCTGGAGTGGCTGGTGGGTCTTAACCAGCAACCTTCTGGCAGCAGTCAAATGCCTTAGGCCCTACACCATCAGAGTTCCTTGTCCTATCTCCCCACGAAAGCTGAACTTCTATATTAACTAGGCTCAGTCTCCACTTCAAATGTCATGTTTAAATGCTACTACGTGCCATTTGAAGTGGAAACTGATCCTAGTTAATACAGAAATTCAGCTTTTGTGGGGAGATAGGATCTGGGTAGCCTAGATAGTGAAGAATAGCATTTTAGGCTTGAGGGACATTTATACATTTTGAAAAAAAAAACAAAACGGGGACATTTTACATATTTTGAGAAGGAATAATTGCAGCCGTGTTTTGGGTATTTGTTCCAGGTGGTGCTTCAAGAGGATGGAGTCTGACTCAAAGTGCCACTGGTTTGAAGTGTGCACATGTTTCTTGATTTGGCAGGTGACATATTTGGAGGAGTGTAGTGTAAGCAGGAAGCACTCTTGGAGTAAAAGAAGAAGGTCGGGATTAAGATGGTGGCTGATGGGTGGGGGTTGGACAAGAGTTATGCTCACTGACTCCAGTTTGGAGAGATGATGGCATTTCTCAGGTTAGGGCTCTTGCAGGCACCTGTCTCCAGATAGTCTTAGGTGTTGAAAGGGCAGAGAGTCTGTATCTTTCCCAGCCACTGATCAAAACCAAACCAATCCCATTGCCAAATGAGGCAGTTCTAACTTGGGATGAGCCCATGTGTGCAGAGGGGAACTGCACTCCATAGGGGTTTCAAGGCCGTGAGCTTTGGAAGAAGACCACCAGGCCTTCCTTCAGAGGCACATTTGAACTGCCAACATTTTTGTTAGTAGTCGAGCACCTAATTGTTTGAGTCAACTTGGGTGTAAGGGCTACCTTCCCTCCTCGGCCCCTGGGGAGATATAAGGTCCACATTGTGCAAGATTGATAAACCACTTTCCTCTGTGCAGGCGGCATTGCGTGATCTATGGCCAAGGCAGAGAAGAGGGGAAGAAGGACAACAGAGGTGAGAGACACAGGGAGTGAAAAACAGAGAGAGGCAGGTGTAGAAGGATAGGGGTGAGAGGTAAAGGGAGGGAAGGAAGCCACGCCCGTTATGGAAAATAGTAAAGAAGAGCCACCCCCCACGGCAGGCTCAGTGCAGAGGCCCGAGAGGTGCCACAATGAGGGCAATTTGAGCTTCAAATTCATTTTCATTTTTGGTTCTTTCTTCCTAAGCTGTTTCTGCTCCCGCTTTGCTCAAAATCATTGCAGCCATCCCAAAATCCAGGAATCTCTCTCATCTTTGCAAAGCAAGGGCCCTGGGAAATGCCAGCCAAATGGTCTGCTTCCAGATTCCTGCACTCAGACCGAGAATTCACATTTTTGCTAAGTGACTAATCTTTGACGATGGATTCACAGCCCCTGACAGCCCTAAGCAAGTTCTGATTCTCCACAAACGGCAGAATATTTTCCAGCCTGGTTAATAAGCCTCGTTTGCACATAGTGAGCATTTACTCTGCAGGTACCTTGCCAAGCACCTCATGGAACTTTTATTTTCAGCCCGATATGGAAGAAGGCACTATAATTAGCCCCATTTTGCAGAGGGGAAAACTGAAGCTAGGAATATAAACTTTCCCAGACTCCAGAGCTGCTAAGTGGCAGAGCAAACAGCAGGATTTGAATCATGCCTCACGGGTCCCAAAGCCCACACTATTAACTTCTCTGCTTCTCTGCCTCATGGAATGGTGTGCTTCAGTTCCTGGGTCAAGGTTAGAGAGAGTGCTATGTATGCTGTACTTTATGGATGGGCTTCTTCCTCAACCTCCATACTAAATGGATCACCTGTTCTTCTGGGGGGCCCTGGAGGAGTAAGATTTCGCAAATCTCTTTGCAACTAAGTGCCTCTCCATCTTGCACTGGCCTTACTTCCAGGTGGTCTTACACCTACCTGCCTGATGACACCTTTTGGTGATCTGAGGGGCTTTTGCAAAAAGCACAGCCCAGAGGTTGGTCAAATCACCTCACTCAACAAAAAAACAAACTCACTGCCTTCGAGTCGGATCCAACTCATAGCGACCCCTTCTTGGGTTTCTGAGGTGGTATTACTACTGAAATAGATTGTCCAGTCTTCCTTCTAAGGAGTGGCTGGTGGGTTTGAACTGCCAGCTTTCTGGTTAGCAGTCAAATGCCATAGGCGCTCTCCTAATTGACTTCTAAACTCTCTATATAAAAGCAAATTTTTTAATCTCAGAGATCACGTTTTGACTTCAAGACCCCTCTTCCCTGATGGCTTATTTCTCTCACTTTTCGCAACAGGCCTTCACCCACTGAACCAGAAACTTTATTTTAATTCTATCCACGGAGGGAATTGAAGTACTGAAGCACACACTTTACAGAATTTGCAAGTGAGAGGAGGGAAAGAGAAAGGTGACATGAGTTCTTTAATTGGAAAATTGCACAAGCGTATCTAGAGTGTACTTTCCAAATGAGCACAGAACATTTGGCTCATGAATCAAACAAGCTCACAGATAAGGAGTAGCTTATCTATTTTTACATGATAAAATTTAACCATCAATTGAGTACAAATTGCCATTAGCCAAAATCTCACTGTGATTTGTTTGGCATGAGGGGGGAGGTAAGGACAGAGGGAGAAGTTAGACTCAAAACACCAGTTTCCTCATTTAACTAACACCCATACTATGGCCAACAAAGCCCTAGTAACCTGCCTGCTTACCACGTCCCAGCCTCTCCAGCCCCACCCACCCCCTTGCCTCAGGACCTTTGCATGTGCCCTTCCCTCTGCCTGGACATTCTTTTCCCCCAAGGTTTGCACAGCTCATTTCCCACTTCACAATGGTCATTACTTAAATGTCACCCTCACAGAAAGGCCTTGCCTAAACCTCCATCCCATCAAAAGTAGAAGCCCTGGTCACTCTATCCTCTCACTCTGCTGTATTTTTATTATTTATTTATTTTTAATTATTCTTATTTAATTTCTAAAAGACCTAAGCCATTGACTGCAATTCCCCACAGTGTAATAGCTCTCTTCCCTCTTCGCCCCCCCCCCATAGTTACTTCCTCCTGTGTCCTTCCTTCCTCTACATTCCTGCCCTGAGCTATCTCCATGCAAATACTGCCCTGCTGTTCTCCACGTTCGCTCCAAGGAGTGTACATACCTGATATAACTGTTCACCCCACATGCCTGTCTATTGTTCGGTGGGAAGCCACAGGAGTGAGTTCAATTCCAGACCTGAAGGGTAACTAGGGGCCACAGTCTCGGGGGTCTCACTGGGTTCCACCAGACCAGTAAACCTGGCTTTTTTTTTTTTTTAATGATTTTGAGCTTTGTTCCACATTGTTCTCCCGCTCTATCCAGGATCTTCTGCACTGATTCCTTTCTGAGTGATTGACAACAGTAGCCGGGCGCCATCTAGTTCATCGGGTCTCCCGGTTTTATCACTGCCTGACATTACACTTTTATTTATATGCTTGCTGTCGCTTCTGTTGTATGTTCTCCATGCCTTGAACACTGCCTGGAACAGAGTAAGCCTTCAACAAATAAACAGACCGAATGCTCATCATCACTCTTTATGAAGAAAGCAGTAGTTTCCCCTGAGAGGTTACGTTGTCTCAGTAAGAGTGAGAGCTAGAAGCGAATCCTTGCTTGTGTAAGTAAAAAGCTAGGGTTGTGTTTGCTTCGGCATTGTGCTCTGCAGAGGAACGACAAACGAGGCAATGTAAAGGAATTCATCCTAGGATCCCTTTTCACCCCCATGGCAGCCGTGTGAGGGCATCCTGTTGTTGGGTGCCACTGAGTCGATTCTGACTCACAGCAGTGCCATGTGACCCAGCAGAACTGCCCCACAGTATTGTCTTGGCTGGAGGGGATCCCCAGGTCTTTCCTCTGAAGCGCTGCTTCTGTGTTCAAACTGCCAATCTTTCAGTTAGCAGTTAGCGGTGAATGCTTAACTGCTGTACCACCAGGGTTCCTTGAAGGAATCCTAATAGCCCTCATCACAGACCGGGAGCCCAATCAGCAGGGGCACACAAAGATTTTGTGGGGCCTAAACTGTGTATGATTTGGAAAGTGTTCTTTGAGGAAAAATAGTGCAAAACCACAAATTCAAAATTAGGTATAGGATCTTAGAAGAGGGCCTTATAAGTGAGGGCCTTTAAGTGTCATTAGCCTCCTTTCCCTAATGAAAGGTATCACAGCCCTTGCTTGGTTTTTAGCTCTTAAAGAAGCCTCTTAGCCTTTCTGCCTCAGTTTTCCCCTTGCAAAGTGATGTCAATAGACTAGGACATTCAGAGTGGACAGGGTCCAGGATCAGTCTATGGGGGCATTTTAAAGGATTCTCAAGGGCTTTACTGCTCTCAGATGTCAGACACGGCCTGGAACTGTCCCACAAGTCTTGCATACTGAAACCAGCTTGTGCGGGGACAGAGAGCACACCCATGACGGACCTCAAAGTCCCCAGAGCCTAGCTTTGGGTCAGCTCTGCCAGGCAGGAACTAACTATGACTGGAAAATCAGTTCTTTATCTGAGACACTATGGGAACGTCTGCATTAGCTCCTCTCTGCGATCCTGCCCCGACTTTAAACTGCTTTCTGCTCACCAAACACCTGAGAGCCCAGGCTCAGTCATCTTTAGGTTGCCCTCAGACTTGTTAAACAAGAGATTGCTCTTACCAGCTGGGGTGTGGGGAGGGAAGAGTTGGGAGTGCTGGCATGATGGGTAACAATCGTTTATTCTTTTGGGGGGAGTACAAGTAGGAGGAGGAGCCCTCTGGTAGTGTAAATGATTAAGCCCCAACTGTTGGTTCGAAACCACCGACAGGCACCTCAGAAGACAGGCCTGGCTATCTGCTTCAGCCTTGAAAATCCTATGGAGGAACACTTTAACTGTGCACACAGGGGTCACCATGAGTTGGAATAAACTGCAAGGCAACTAACAACAACAGGGGTAAGGGGTGGAAAGGTCCTGGATCTTGAAAAGAGAGGGGAAAGGACCTCCAGGAAGGTGGGGACCCAAGGATCCAGCACAGTGTCTGAAAACACATTCTTTACCTGTCCCGGGGCCGGATCAGATTCCAAACTAGAAAACCCTGCGCACGCCTCAGTGCTCTAAGCAATGGGCGACCCTGCCTTCCGCCGCATGGACCCCTGCGCTTGGCAGGCCGCTCCCCGCCGGCAGCCCCGCTCACCTTGCTGCCGTTCACGTAGAAGAGCAGCTCGGCCGCCGCGTCCCGGGACGCCGCCATCCTGGAGCCGCAGGCGCGCGGAGGCCCAGCCGGGCGGGGGTCCGAGGCCGGGAGAGAGGCGGCGGCAGTCGCGGGAGCCGCGGGCAGCTGGGAGCGGGCGATGGGGTAAGCCGAGCGCGCTGTAGCCCAAAGGGCAAGCGAAGGCGATGAAGCAAGACCTGATTCGTCCAGCGTCCAGCGCGGTGTCTCCAGGGACACTCTCGGGCAGGATATTAACGTTTGGGCAGACGTCACTAGAACGCCTATCTGGACTGAAACCACTTGGCGAAGACACCTTCATGGCCACGCCTGGGCATCTTTTTGGTGGTCTTACATAATTAGACATTTTAAATGACTTCGTGGGGTAGTGGGTAAGGCATTTGGCTGCTAACCAGAAGGTTAGCGGTTCATAACCCACCGGCCTCTCCTCTGTAAAGCTATATACAGCCTTGGAAACCCAATGGGGGTCACTATGAGTCGGAATAGACTCCATGGCAGTGGGTTGGTTTGTTTCCAACTCCCAGGGCCCCTGGTGCTTAAAGCCCTCAGCTGCTAACTGCAAAGTCGGCCATTCAAACTCAGCAGGAGTTCTGCAGGAGAAAGACATGGTAGTCAGCTTCCATAAAGATATACAGCCTTGGAAACCCTACAGGGCAGTTCTACTCAGTCCCATAGGGTTGTGAATGGACTCCACGCAGTGGATTGGGCTTTTTTCGTGTTGCAACTCCCACAACGCCTGCTGCAGACTTATCTGCAAATTTTCTCGCTTAATAGGCACTCAAAACCACAACAACAAAAAAGTCCCACTTACTCCACCTTTGCAGCAAAGGAGCTCAAGGTCATGGAATGGCTTTCCAACTTTATCTTGTTGCTGTTGGGTGTCTCCAAGTTGATTCCAACGCGTGGGGCATCCATGTGACAGGATAGAATTGTCTCATAGGATTTTCTTGGTTGTAATCTTTAGAGAGCAAATGGTCAAGTTTTTCTCCGTTGGAATCACTGAGTGGGTTTGAATTTCCAGCCTTTCCATTGGCAGCCAAAGCTCTTAACCAGTGTACCACCAGGTCTCCTTAAATTTATCTTGGAATTATAGAAATAAGTATTGTTTATTTTTAAAATCACGTGCTACTTTGATATAGAAAGATAAACTATTATTTGAAACATCATGTCACTATTCATCATTTAGCCAGTAAATAACAACAAAGTTTATCCTATAAGGAACAGAAATGTAAAACATCTTTGAAACTTCTTTTAAAAGTAGAACTTGCAAAATACTGAAAAAAAAAAAAAAACAGAAATAAGCAGATTTACAACTGCTAACTTTTTGAGTGATCTTTCCTTTTTTTTTTTCCTAATCTTCAGTGTAATAATACCTCTTAACACTCAAATGAAAGCGAAATACTTATTTTCAAGATTTCATTTCACTTAGCAAACCTGGAACATTCTGCCATGTCATCTCATTTATGTAAATACAAAATTTTATTATAAAAATTCCAAAAGTTAAATAAAACTGAAGACTACAATTATTATCTCCATATCCTTCAGTGAGTTATAACAACCGTCCACATTTGGCCATACTCCCTTACTTTTTCTGGAGTATTTTAAGCCAATCACAGAGATATATTATTTTACCCTTACATACTTCAGTGTGTATTAATTTTTTTTTACTTAGCCATTATTTACAATGCCATTATACTTAAGAAATAAAAATACTTTCCTAATATCCTCACATTTCCTTGTCTTTTAAAAAAAAATTGTGCTTTTGCTGAAGGTATACACGATTTAGGTTTCCGTTCCACAGTGTGTACACAGATGGTTCAGTGCCGTGGGTTACATGCTTCACAACGCAGAAACATTCTTGTTTTTCTGTTCTGCTTGTTCTGTTTCCATTAATCCTGTTTGCCTACTCCCTTACATTCTCACTTTTGTTTAAAAGTAATTGTTGACCATTTGGTTCCTTTTAAGAATGGCTTTTTATAGTTGGTTTTGTATTAAAGGAGTGTCTTTCAATGTATTTGGTTGCTGTCTCTTCAGTTTCTTTTATGTTTCTTTTAATCTAGAACATTTTCCTCCACCATGCCCTCTGTTTAACACCATTAACATGTTGTAGAAAAAAACAGGTCAGTTGTGCTATAGAATAAACCACATTGTGAATATGGCTGGTTCCTCCTTGTGTTGATTAAACTTTTTTTTTTTTTTCTTTTTTGAGTGGGAAGCAAGAGGGAGCTCCGGTAGTGCAGTGCCTAAGGCACTTGACTGCTGACCAGAAGGGTCGTGGTTCAAACCCACCAGCCACTCCTCAGAAGGAAGACTGGACAATCTACTTCTGCAGTGATACTGCCTCGGAAACCCAAGGAAGGGTCACTATGAGTTGGGTCCGACTTGACGGCAGTGAGTTTGGGTTTTTTGGGGGGTGGGGGTGGGCAGAGAGCAAGAAAATTCATAGTAGTGTCACACACTTCATATTGCATCACATCAGAAAGATTGATCAGTGTAATCCCTTGATGAATTTCTCTATCAACATCTCATTAAATGGTTTCACCTTTCATTGTTGACCATTGCCTGAAGCAGTTATTTTCTTAGGGGTTACAGAGTATGTATGTATATATATGTGTGTGTATATATGGGCAATCTAGTTCCATAGTGATACCGCCTCAGAAACCCAAGGAAGGGTCGCTATGAGTCAGGTCCCACTCGACAGCACATAACAACAACAACAACAACATGTATATATGTGTGTGTGTGTGTGTATGTACACACACACAAACATATACTTCTAATTCTAATGCATTCCTTCTGCATTTATCAACAGGGATTCTTCTGAATAGAATTTATCATCATCCACTAGACTACAGGTAGTCCCTGATGCGTTCAAGTTACTAGCCACCACAATTAACAACCATGGGTTTTTTGGGAATACATCTTATGGTTAGTAATATGTACTACATACAATGTTGCAGAATATAATTTGCTGATGTTATCATTCTTATGGCAACCCTAAAGACAAATAAAGATTGGATTTTAAAAAATAGTGATAGTAGGTAAAAAGTAATAATAATGAACATTTAAAAAAAGAGGTATTCAACTTATGTCAGAACTTGAGAGTTCTAAGAATGGAATCCTATCTTAAGTTGAGGACTACCCTGTACACATAATTTCATACAAGAAAAGATAAATTATTAATATTTTTCTTTACATTATAAATATTCAGAGTATTGGATGAATGCTTTAGTAATTTTCAGTGGTATCCAATGTTTTGTCTTGCTTCTCCTTTTAAAATCATTGTGACTTGATGAGTTTTTCTATAGTTTGTATGTTGTAATCAATTCGAGTTCTTACTGATGCTTAGTCTGTCCCATCTTAGGCCAATGGGAGCCTCTTCAAGCTGAACCTTGCATCTTTTGACAGTTACCTTTCTTTTTTATAATTTCCCTGCTTTCTGGCACATAAAATATCCCTGGCTCACCTTGTCTGTATCTTGTCCCAGACTTGGAATCTGCTATTTCTCCAAGGAGTCCTGGCTCCTTTTAGTGGGAAATAGTCTTCAGAAAGCATAATGTAGAAGCTAGATGTGTTCATTGCTAATGAGCTGTCATTATTTCCAGATATTCTCAGTGGACGGAGCTAGGAAACATATAATTTTATAAAGAAGTTTATAGAAAGCACAACTGCAGAGTGATATTTCTAATTAATATTTAAGATTGCAGAGCTGACTTTTTAAAAACCCTTCTTGGATTTTATAATTGTATCTCTTTTATCCCCCAAACCCTACTTCTAAAACTTTAACATAATTGTTTTACCCTGTCCATATATATACTTATTTCCAAAATAACCCCATCAGTATTATAATAGCAATAAAACTGTGGGTAAAAGTTTTTTTTTTTTAAAAAAAAGGTTTTAGAATTATTTATTTATTTGTTTGTTTATTTATTTTATTGTGATTTGGGTGAAGGTTTACAGAGCAAATTCACTTTCCATACAGCGGTTCACATATATTTTTTCTCATGGCATTGACCACAGTTTACCACAATGCAACAGCTCCCCTCCCACTTCCTCCCCACAGTTGCCTCTTCCCTGTGTCTATCCCTCCATGCACTCCTGCCCCCTGAGCTGTCTCCCTGTGCATAAACAGCCCTTCTTTCTTCCATGATTGTTCTCTCCAAGGAGTGTATCTGCTTCAGGGAAATGCTCAGCTCATATGCCTGTATTTTGTTTGGCTGGAAACCACAGGTGTGGGTTTAATTCCAGATCTGAAGGGCAGCTAGAGACTCAGTAGTTCCACCAGGCTCTAT